GGCCCCAGGCCGAAAGAGTCAAACGTTCCCCGCAAAACCCCGCGGGGAGTTGGGGCTTCAAGTTTGCTGGAGCGATTTTGCGCTGAATTTTCCCGATGCTGTGGCTCCAGAATCTCTCAGAGGAATGCGAGGAGTTTCAATTTCGTCGCGGGAAGGGGTTGACAAAAGGGAATAGGCGCAAACAAAGCCTATAAATGCCGAATCGACGAAAAAGGGGTACGGACATGTGCTGCCATCTAGCGGTCACTGTGTTAAATGTCCTCATAATTCCGATGTTCCCACACTTTTGGTGCACCCTGTATGTATTCCTTCTTAAAAAAAAAAAAAAAAAACGGTGTGGTAGGAACGTGAATCTGTGAATGAAAAGGGACACGGTCACGTGTCGGCGACGCACTGGGAACTGGATCCGGTCCCGGAACGATCCAGGAACGGTGTCACGACGACTCGGGCGACCCAAAAATGTATTTGAGTCACGTACTTCGCTGGGGGCTGTTTCCGTCGGGCCTATTCCGCCGGCAGCTTTGCGGCTTTCGTGGCGGGATGGACTCGATCCGGCAATCGGGGGTGGTTGGAATTTTGCGGTGGGCGGGAGCATTAGCACTGGCATGAGCTCGATTGCTTCGAGGCGATGAGCGTGGGCACCGTTACGGATAGGCGGTTGTTTACGTTTTCGATCGTGTTGTTTTCGTGTTTTCTAGGGTGGTTTCCGCGAAATTCCTGAATTGAAAACTAATAAATCAATTCAAACGACGAAGGGGAATAAATTCGAGGCGGAGATTCAGGCAAAAACAAGCGATTTCCTCACGGATTCCGAAATTGAACGTGGAACGGCAGGCAGAACGTCCTCACTCGTCGAGTTAGGCTCCAAGACTGACTGCGTCATTGTTGCGTTAGAGCCCTTCGCGGGCCGGTTTTGAGAGAACAGCAAGAATAGAACCGTGTTCCGGAGTCCCGATGGTACAGCTACGAAGCAAAAGGTAAAGTTTTTTTTATTTATAATTAAAGTATTTGCATTCCTCGAGAAAAAGGGATAGTGAGTTTCTGAAGAAAGTTTCTCGGAAGAGCCAGGCAGCTTCCAGTCTTATCGACGTCTTTCTGTCGCGCCATAAGTCTTACTTGCCTGTGCCTCGCGTATATCTCACCTCCTTCCCCTGTCACACACTTAATCATTCTCACTATCGCCGACTGCATGCATAAACCCCACACCAGTCCACACGTAGACTCTCCACGGTCCCCTTGCGAAGGCCCAACATTTTGATCCAAATGGAATCGTCCCCCCCGTGCAGGCCTCTACCACTCTTAAGGCCAAAGAGCCTCCATTCGCATTCCCGCGCCCCAGTCCGTCCGTGCATCGAAGAGCGGGAGGAACACGGCCGGGGTCCCTCCGCTCGCTCGTTCGCGATTCGAGAATGGGCGGCGAGAGGGTCAGGTTGTCCTGCGCCTGCAACGTGAGTTCACTTTTCAAATTTTTTCTTCTCCGAGCCGGGAGATTATAGAGTCCCGCGAGCGTGAAAATTAAGCTAATTATTTGTTGAATGTGCAGCCAGATTTAAATCGCGCCATTCCGTGCCTCGTTCGAGGCGCAGCGAAATGCGAAATGCGACCGTCCGACGTGACGGAAGTGATTCATTCCGTCTGGCTAATGTATTTCGAGGCGGGAGAATTACGATTTAAAAAATGAGATACGTAAGTTTAATTTTTTTTTCATCTCAGGTGGTCATAACTAAACCGATATGCCTCAGTATTCAGTGCATATGAGTAGTAGAGAACCATTTCCATAGTTATGGTGCCGGTCGGAGTGGCGGGCCATCTTTGGAAATCGTAAAAAGAAATGTTATAGGAACATTTGGAAAAGCCCATTGCCCCAAAGTTTCACGAAACTGCATCGTAGAGCAATCAGAATGCAGGCGAACCAGCTCGGAAGCTGATGAAAACACTGAGGGAATTCTGAAGCGTCGAACATCCAAGGAATAATTTCTCGAGGGAATGTAATTCGTATGGTACTGTATGGTATGGTATGTATACCAGCAGAGTGAATACGAAAATAGTGCTCTACTATCCATATACGTTCCTGCACCGAATACTGAAGAGTTTCGGTTTAGTTTATATGCCCTGAAATGAAACTAAAAAATTATATTTCGTTTACTTTTTTTTTCCTTAACTCAGTATTATTGTTGCGTATTTATATATATTTTAAAGATTTTGTATATCGGTGTTGCAGCGCAGAATTGCCGTTGAGGGAGGATTCGTGCGTGGAGGGGGGTGGGTGCGTGTGGGACGGGGAGGTGGAGAGAGAGAGGAGAGGGGGGGAGGTGTGGGGCATGTTCGTGATGGAGGCGCCTGTCGTGAGGGAGTTTGGGAGGTGCTTCGACTGGAGGATCTCGTACGAGAGGGATGCGGACGTGCGAGTGACGTACGGTCGGGTGAGGAGGAGGGGCGAACCGGTGAGGGTGGATGTGGAGGGGATCGTGAGGGAGAAGAGGCATCTGGCGGCGGGTGTCGCTTCCAACTGCGACTACGTGTCTTCGGGGAGAGGGAAGATCTTCCGGGAGCTGCAGGAACTGGGAGTCGCGCACGTGTACGGGGACTGCGGGGACCGCGAGATCGCGGGAACGCCGCAGGACGCCCACGCGAATCTGTCCCGGTCGTACATGTTCTACCTGGCGTTCGAGAACTCCCTGTGTGCGGATTACGCGACGGAGAAGTTCTTCCTCGCCCTCGAGCATCCGTGGGTCCCGGTCGTCTACGGCGGGGCTGACTACTCCCGCGTCGCCCCGCCTCGCTCGTACATCGATCTCTCCGACTTCCGGTCGGTGTCCCACCTGGCCGAGTACCTCCGGCACCTCGGACGCCACCCGGACGAGTACGCCGAGTACCTGGCCTGGAAGAGTCATGCGTACGCGGAAACGACGGACGAGGACGTGGGATGCCAAGTGTGTCGGGCCCTCCACTCGCTCCCCTCGCGCCCTCCCCGCTCCTGCGAGGCGTCGGTGGAGAGGGACAAGGGAAGATGCCTCCTGGTGGATGGTGGATCGGTCGGGACGGTGTAGGAGGTCGGATCGGGATCTCGAGTGTCGTTCGTGTGCGTGAAGGAAACGTCGTCTGTGTGGTGTCTGGCGTTTTCACCGGGAAGATCTGCGTCGAGACGGGCGAGGAGGATGCAGGGGCGTCCCATCACCCCCAGATTCTTACTAGAGGTCGGTGCATTCTCGCACGGTAGCGAAATAGCAGTGTGCGAGACGGCGGAGATATCCATGGAGTACGCTTATTTTCGTCTCCGGACCACGAATTCACAGCTCTGCAGTCTATTTGGCGCGGGGCTCTGGACTCTGGACTCCTGCGACATCTGAAGTCCTCACAAAGGCGACCGCTTCGAAACGATTTAAGACAGTCTCATCCCTACGACCCAAACGTTCTTGCCAGTTTCCAGCCGTACCGGCAACAGGGTACGTATGCTAACGTACTTGGAAAATGGTGGTTCGTCGAAGTTCCCTCTGATGACTCCCGGAATGAATCCCCACGAAAATCTTTCAACACGACCACGGCTCGTTTTATTTCATATTTCTCCACAGCGAGGATAAAGGATAATGGATCATGTTAGAGAGATGATATCATACAAAATCCATCATTAGAAAAGAATGTTGCATAAAAAAAAGCAAAACGAGGAAGAAAAAAAAAGGGCGGACAACATAGGTGTTTGGCTGGATCGAACGAGATCCACGAACAAGAGTTAGAGGACATATCATCGCGTCATGTCGTAACAATAAGGCACTCCAACGTCCTAACGCCACCCCCGTTCTCTATTTCTTCGTCAATTCGTTCCATAAATAATATGGCACTAGGATGAAAGGCTACGCGGAGATAGGAATCGACCAGCACCATGCAGAAGAGAGAATCTTTGACACTATATAAGGCTTTGGGAATCGACACGGAGAAGCTCTCGACGACATCGCCTCTGGAGATTCCCACGATTGCACGACGGATCGACGACGGGTCCTGAGTTCGGAGGCAGAAGAGAGAATCCGACGGAGTTTGATTAGTGAGAGTCGGGTACGAGCGAGACGCTCGCTTCCTTCTGTACCGGTACTGGTTAGTACTGGTACCAGGGCTGCCTGCGCACCCATCGGAGCCGGATCCCGGCGTCCGTCCGCATCTTGATGGACGCGGCCTCCGCCGCTCGAACCGTCTCCTTCACGCTCTGCATCAGGTTCTGCGCGTTGCCGACCAGCATGTCCGTCGCCTCTTGGTCTTCCTCCGTGCCTGGGGACGGATCGCAGAATTCTCTTGCACGACTTTTCGTCAACTTCGTACCAAACTAGATTCATCGTATCGCGAGGCTCTATCGAGCGACACTTAGCTTCGATGCATTTCCTCATGCAATGTTCTTCCCTGGAAATGGGTTTAATTCATCCCAGATTCCTTACAAAAGGGAGAGTACGATGCAACACATCCAGAGATGAGGGATGAAAGAAAGAGAAGAGAATCGAGGACTTACTTCTTCCAAACAAGAGTCCTGGGTTTCAGGAAGCAAGACAAGAAAGACACAATATTATAGTTGAAGCACTAAGATCAACAATGCAACATAACTCCTTTTTTTTTAATTCGATGGATGGGAAAAACTACTCCCTGCTTCTTAAATGATCGAAATACCTGAGTATCTTATCCTAGTCCCCTTGTAAAAAAAAAAAAAATATATCTCAGGTCTTTATGGTCACTGTGCCAGTCTCAAAGTAAAGCAAATTTGTGATGTTTTAGATCCAAACAAAATTTAATTTATAAATGGGTGAAGAAAGTTTATAAATTAATAACGACAAAGACCCATATGTGGTTGGAGGATGGGGATGAGGATACAGGCGAATTCTGATTCTCATACCAACACTACACAAAGGTATCCTGTGCTCATTCTGAACTTAATGGAAGATCCATCTTCACTTATGCAGTTTCTAAATGTCATATAATGCTGTTTTAAACGGCAAGAGAAACCCTATGAGTCCGAGACAACCGATCCGTTGGAAACTCAGGGCACTGGTACTTGGGAGTTCTGCTGCTTTTGATCTCCGTGCTTCATGTCTCACAGGATCCCAGGAGGACCTCTCCTCTCGCATGCACAGAGTAAATAACCACAACACGAAAAATCCCATCCCATGCACCGGCATGCGCTGAATGTGAGGCAGACTTCATAAACCCCAGTACGACCAGAGCCATGCATCTCCGTTCTAATCGAGTCGACGTACTTTCAAAGACATCGCTAAACGATCGATCGATCCCTCATTCACAACATAATTCAGGATGAGGATAGATAAGAGAGTACAGTATGACAGAGACCAGAATGCTCTGTATGTCAAGTCAGTTGCATATTTCCCTTCTCTACTTAGGATGTCAATGAAAATTAAAAAAGTCAAATCATGAGGTAAGACAAAGAGAAACAAGGACAAAACATAGGGTGGGGAAAAGACATTTACCGCCTGTAATTTCGCCGTCGTCTCGCCGAGGGAAGGACTCTGTTGGGGCAGAGAACACAGAGGCAGAGAATGCATGACAAACACGTTCTTCCCTTTCCATGGACAACATCACACACACACGGTACAACACGTCTATCATCTGATCTCCCCCTCCCCGAACCTCCACCCGCAGACACAGCGGAAGGGACGCGGAAAAAGCGCAGCCATGCCGACCCCTTTCTGGGATGTCCTCCTTTATACATACATTTCTTCACCTTTCGAGTCGACTTGAATTTGCCATACGACTCCGAGAGGAGGAGATCCCGGCTGAACTGAATTCCCCCGTGAAATCCCAGCACCCACAAAGACAAAGCAGAGATGAAAGAAACCGCATGTAGACAGAGCAACTCACCCTGAGCTCCCAGCATGGTGGCCTTCACCGTCGACAAGATCTTCAGCTGCGTCCCGATCGTCGGGATCCTCTCGCACACTTGCAGCAGGTTCTGCACGAGAAGACCGAGATGAGCAAGAAAGGCTGAGAAGCACACCAACAAACGGAAAAAACAGAATCTCACAGTTCTCATGCGCTTGTCGGTGCACTCCTTGGCGAGTTCCTTTGCCAGGCGAGTGACTTCCTGAGATGCATCTGCAATGGCTTTGGCACACGCAATGAGGTCCCTCTTAGTTCCGCCTTCTCCTCGCACCAGCTGCGAGAGCTTGGCCATGAGTGCTGCCATGCGCTTAGCTGCAGCGATGATCTCGTTGTCCCTCGATGACCATTGCTTCACTTCTTGATGAAGGCCATGAGCAGCCATCTGAAATCACAGCAATCCATTCATTAGTCAATCAATGAAGATGATTGACAAATGAAACCATAAGACTGAAAATTACCTAGGACCTAAATTTCCCCAAGTCATGTTGAAACCCAAGCCTTAGTGTTCACACTGACAATGACTCTATTTCGCAAAATGTACCACTACTTTGATTCCACAATGGGACCAGTTTGATGCCAACACATACCAAGTATACAAGATAATGATCAATTACAAGAACTTTAGCCAGAATTGGTCAATTTTGACTGGTGCTATATGGCATGGCATCAAAGACAGTTAAGAAAGAAAATAAAATACCATGATAGGCTGATTGGGGAGCGGTGGTCTGGTGAATGGTGATTCATCTTCATCATCGGTCTCAGGCGGAGGCGGCCTCGGTGGGGGTATGTCCCCTCCGGGTAGAGGGGGTCTCGGTGGGGCAGTGTCTGTCAAATGGCAAAGTCCTCTTAAAAATGTCTCTGTCAAAAGGAGTGATGCTTTTCTTCAAGAACAATGGTAGGCATAAGAGTGCACCAAACACAACAAACCACAAGGGAAATTGGAAGGATGGAGGAAGGGGACAAGGAGGGCATGCCCATCAAGTACGAGGTGATTTACGTAGGCATACTGGCATACCTCCATCAAGAACGTGGTTGGTGAGGTGATAGGAAGGCTTGGGCTTTCCTACCAGTTTTCTCACTTTCCCTCCTGCAGCATTTTAGATAGCAGGGAAAAAAGGAGGGGTAAGAAATCATCCTGTTAGTGTGACATGCTGCCTTCATTGCTTCATTATCACGTTTTGGTGGCGAAACAAAGAAGCATGCAGACAATGGTTAAGAGAGGATTGCTAATTTTGGCATTGCAGCAGAGAGGTAGAAACAGGCAATTCTTACATCTGCATCAGTAAGTGGTAATAAATAATTACAGATAGAATTATATGGAACCTGCAAAACCAAAAAAGAAGGGAAAGCCTGACACCCAAAGCCACAAAAAGCCAAACCAAGTCAAATGAAAAACCAGGAACCAAGGAATGGTTGAACCCATGATGAGGAGAGATGACAGACACACAGAGACACAGCAGCTACCTTTATGGAGAAGAGAGCCATGGGAAGAGGTTCCCATGGAGCGTAAGATGTCATCCAGTTCGGCTTCGGGGTTTTGCAAAAGTGGGGGACCGGGATAAGGGAGAGTGGGCTGGGAAATGGGATGCAATGCATTGGCTGCAAACATACATTAAAGTACATCTAGGTTAGTCAGGACTTCTTTCTCTCTCCTATCACTATGACTATAACGAGTCGAGTGCTAACACTGATCACGGCTTTGAAAAATTCACCAGTGACGCTCTCCTTTTCCCCATACTTCACTGTTTCATAAAATAATTAGCTCCTAAATTTTCTATGACAATCTAGAAAATTGCATTTCACTATCCAAGCAATTCCTCTGCTGACAGAGGCAAGCACTGTGGAAATAGGCTGATCATTTATATTCATCTCATATAAGCATGTTTCATGTCTGCTTTATCCAATACCAAGCATAGTGTAGCTGAGATGACAATTTGCATGATGCTGAGTATAGATCAAAGTTAAATGGAAGATGAGCAGTTCTTTCAATCAAAAAGGAAAAAGAAAACTGCTAACTGCATCCTCATATCAGTGCTATTTTTCTCTCTGGGGGGGTCTGGGTCCCCCTGGCCCCCCTTGGCTTGGCCACTGCCTGCTGGAATCACCAACTGAGGACTTCTACAGGGTGTTCCACAAGTGGCTGTGCAGTGAAATTTAATTATTTTGTAGTGTACTGTGCACCACACACAGTACACTACAAAGTATTATCAGAGGCATAAAATACCACTCAATACATCAACAGATAGCACCACCCCATCAGTAAATCATTTATTGTCTATACTTCTCATCTGCAATAAAGCTAATCATTTCATCTCATGAATTCCATTGCACAGCGACCTTTGGAACACCCTGTATATGACACTGTCGAATCCAGTGATGACAATAATAGCACAGTGTGCACGACAGTCTGTTCACAAATTCTAAGATGCACGCTAACAGTGGATTAGTTTTCTAGTCTGCAAGCCTATCTCTTTCAGCATCATGAAATCACTATCTAGTATGGGTAACCTCCATTGGTCATCCTTAAAAGAAAGGTTTGAATATATGCCACTCACCATTGAGAGAGAGGGATGACATGTCGGGAGGAGGCGGGAAGAAGTCGTCGTCGGATCTCACACCCACCGCCTCTCGGACGTTTGCAACCGAATCGAGGAGCTGCACGGGGATGAGGCACGATGCAATGAAGAAATTCATTCAGGAGAAAGCTAAGAGAACAGATTCAGTCAAAGTCATGGATACTCACAGCATTATTGGAGTCCCTCCAGTGTGATTGTGCCTTGGGATCAGAGATGTTCATGGTCACCGTCTTGGCATCCCTCACCATTGGCGATACAGCTGAAGCATAGGAAAAAAAAAAAACTAATTGTGTGATACTGTTTGCTAGGTATTAACACTGACAGCTAAAGAAGGTCTCCTGAAGGTCCACTTGGAGAATAAGTCATCAAAGGGGCATGAGTTTACTGCATGTTAATGGGCCATGACTAATGCCACTGATAAAACTGTCCTTGCATTTGAGAGCTAGGTATGGTCATGTACTGTTGTATCCCACCTAAAACTTGACATCTCTCAATCGTGCCCACCCATAAAGAGTGAGTGTATATTTTTCATCAGTACCTCTTTGTATACAATGCTGGGAATAATCCAGAAGTTGAAGAATTTGGATCTCTAATTAGTCAACAGTCTGTTTGAACGTAGAAGTTACAACATCAGAAGTTCACGAGATCATGCATTAGATTCCTTGATTATCAGTTCAGGTCTTGCCTGGCTATCATGATAGTCATCTTGGTATGCCCCACAAATGGAACAAAGACTTCAAGAGAGGGGGAGAGTCTGAAAGCTAATGTGTCACTTCAGTCATGACAAAATGAACTGATGAAATGATATTATTGATGCAGTTCTCATTTCATGTTTGGTTTAGTCATTTCATGAATAAATCTATGTTCAATTCAACAAGTATGCATTTTTCATGTTCCCCTAGCAGCATGCACGGATATTCAGGCACTATTGCATACCTGCTTGGACACCCTCAGCAGCTCGATTCACTCTAGCATTGTAGACAGGATCCTCCGAGTTGTCAGCTTCTTGTTTGGCCACCATGTAGACCCGATTGGCAAGGCGAGCTTCGGCAGTCGTGTGATCGACCATCTTCTGTGGCTCCCGTCTTCCCATGGCAGTTTCGCATTGCTCTGTATGCCACCTCATTGCATCCTCTGTAAGTCACACCAAGAAATGCATGAAAAAATTTGTCTTTTTATAACTTGAGATTGATACCACTGGAGGATCAGACCTGATGCCTTGATGAACTTGGCCGAGTCAGTGGCCTCATCTGCTAGAGCCCTCATCTTGTGAAGAGAAGCATCATATTGCTGCCTTAGGTTTTCAAAGTGTTCATCAGCTGCTTTGTTCTCTGGATAAGCCATTCGGATCCTTCCAGCATTCACCAGCTGGGGAGTCAGGCTCTCCACCTGCAATCAACACATCTTTCCAGTTTAACTGATGGCAAATAGAATACAAAGTAGAAGATTGTGATGGCACTGAAAAACTTTTGGTATGGTCTGTAAAACATGTGCCAGTATTTTGCACCATGTTGCCGCAATACAGTGTGTTTTCAAGGTGGCAATGTGTCCAAGCAAAAAAATTATGAGGAGAAAAGTTCACAATACATAATTAAACTGATGATAAACATATTTATTTTCTCCTTCAAACAGTCATCTCATTTTTTATTTTACAAAAAAAATTTGCTAATCTGAATTTTAAATGTGAAAAAATGCATGCATATTTTGTATGAGATAATGCTATAAATATATTCATTCATGAAGTATGAGGTATGAACAGTCTGTCTGTCCTCTTAGATTTGTTTATCATGACTTCAGCTTATGATTAGATGAGATGGGGAAAGCCACAAGATAGTTAAAGATGGAAAAATGATTCATTTCCAAAATGTCATGAAGATTGCACAGTACCTGAGAAGCAGAGGCCAGGAGTGCCTCAGCAAGTTTCTTATTTCCACCAGAACCAGATGCAACCAACCGGGCTGTCTTGGCACACCGATCGCTAAATGCTTGCAAATTGTTGGCTTTCTCTGCAAAATTTGCTTCCCTTCCTGGAGTGCCTACACAGAGAAATCCCAGTCATATCCCATGGAAAGTAAACTTTCATTACAGAAATAGATAGCCATAGAAGACCTAGGGAAATCTGAATACCTTCAGGAGCCATGACAGCTTCAGTGAACTGCTTGAGAGGCGTGGTGATATCGACGAAGTCCTCCACCACTCTGTCCACGAGTGCACCTTGTATGCTGTTCTTCAGTTGATGAAGCTTGTATCCCAGCTGGCGAGCAATCTGCTGAGCCTGCGGAGAGTTCCCGAGTCCACGGCGGACGAGGTCGTTCAGCTCGCGGGCCAGGGAATCCACTTCGTTGCAGAGGGAAAGGATTTCGTTTCGTTCTTGACCGGAGAGTCCTTCGGCCACCTGGTTCCAATCATCAATCACAGGGTCAAGCAAACGGTTCTTTCACTCGTCGAGAATCGATACGGTAGAGGAAGTCGAGACCTTTCGTCCTTCCTGCACGATGAGGTTGACCGCGCGCAGGCCAAGGCCTCCATCATCGACGGTGGGATTTGCAAGCCAGCGCTTGGCCTGCTCCAGTCTCCCAGCCACTGTGTGTGCTGGTTGGGTCATGCCTACAAGAAAAAATCAACATTCACCTTCATCCAATCCTAGTAATGTTTATCTTATGAGCTGTGAAGACTCACCAGATTTCTCCACATTGACAATTGCTCTTGCAATAAGGGCATCCAATTCTTTCAGCTTCTGTCCAATGCTGTCTGCCAAGCTCTGGGCCTGAGAATGATTTAAAAAAACAACAGATCACACAAATGATCGTTTCTATTCGTGCAATTCGCACGGTCACATTGCCTTTAGCTCACCTGAGGACTCCTGCCCTGACCAGTCTGTCGTAGTTCACAGAGCGCATCTGTCATGGAAGATATATCTCCGCACATCTTATGAATGGCATCTCGATCCGGAGGGAGGCTCCGATCGGCCACGCGTGCAGCGTGAGTCAGGATCTGGCGCAGGGACTTCTCTCCGACGCCACCTCTCAGAGCCAATGGATCCTGGAGCCAGTCATGAGCAGTCTGCAGTTTGTTCTCGATTATATTCTGGGACCTCTTCATGGCCATCAGGTTGTCGGCCTCCCACTCGTCTTCGTCGTAAGTCGTCAGCTGGAGGACGCGGATGATCTCCGTGATCTCGTCGGTCATCCGTCCCGCCAGGTAGTTTCGATTCTCTGCTGCCTCTTCTGCTCCTTTTCCACCTAATTGACCCGTGGATGATTTCTTATTTAGTTCTCATTCATGCTAAATTCATTCCCCCAAATGGTTGAAAGCAAGAGGGGGGAATGCATTACCCTGAGCTATGATCTGAATGAATATTTTCATGGAGCAGATGAGGATGGGCGCAAGAGTTTTGACTTGATCCAGGCAACGGATCAAGATGTCCCGATGAACTTGATGGGTTAGCTCCTTCTGACGGGAATCCACTTCCCTTGACACCTACCAGGAATATATTTAAGTGATACATGCATAAAATTGCAAATTAGCAATGGGGTGGTCACATTTGCAATAAATTTAACCTTTTCATGATTGAGATCTTAACTTTCAACGATTTACTCTCCCTGCCACCACCATTTTAGCAACCAGTGGATCTACCACCAGAGGACTGTGGCACCCTTAATAAACTGCAAACAGCCACAAGGGTTTTAAAATACATCAAGCACCTCAACCTGAGGGCATCACCATGAAATACTAACTGACTGCACCTGATTCAGTATAACTTCTACCACAGCACTGTCTACACAGCAATTCTGACATCGATTCACCCAAATGGTGAAAACAATGGGTCTGAGACCACTTCTAGAGTCTCAAAAACTGCTATGGGATGCAGCTTTTATCCATTTCCTTTTACGAATTAGTGCACATAATTCTCACACAGACAAAGCAAAACTGATGACATTTTCCTTGAAAATAAATATTCCTGCAAACTTGTGATCCCATCTGACACATTAGCCCAGCAGGAAAGGTAACTCAGATATCAACTCCTTTGCACATTTTCTTTTACAGATTTCCTTAAGACCTTCAACTAGAAATGGACCAATTATTTGTCTAGTCCCTGGCTCTTGAAATCCTCAGATGAATTCTGTGGCATAAATCAAGTCTTTTACAAGTACATTCCTGCCAAATTTGGTTGTAGTAGTCCTGAGATACAGTGACGTGGTCTCTTTTTGTCATATCCCATACTCAAGGACATATGCCTGTTCTTGTTGTTTATCTTGCTTTCCCTTAGAAAAAAAAAAGGCCTTGGCATTTGGCCTCAAACTATGGCCAAATATTAAGAAACTTCAACAATAAATACCCGCTCCATAAATATTAAAAATACAAGAGATGCTACAACTGTACAGAATCAATGAGTTTCTTTGTGCATCCTGAAAGAAGCTCATGAACGGGGGGGGAATAAAACAAATCACGCGATTAATTGTTGAACTTGGCCAGGATCCTCTCCATTGTGAAACGATGGCATGGTTCCATGAAAGAACACAGAGCAGGCTAGGTGTGCTCTGGCAAGGACCCAGGTGCCAACAACACGGGGGTCCCCCATCGATGAATCAGCCTCACCTTGGTGAGACAGGGACTAAGATCCTTGACAAACTGGACCAAATCCTCCATGGTCTCGATGACTTCCGCCACGGCGAGGTAGTCGAGGACCTTCTTGCACTCCCGGATGATCTTGCGAACCTCGGATTCGTCAAAGCAGAGGAGGAGTGCAGATGTTCCCTGGAGGATTCCTCTTGCCCCATCGATCAGCTTCTTCCTATTGCCAAAAATCGGCAGGGAGAAAGACGTCTGATGATGCGGTACGAATAGATCCCTTACGTATCTAATGCCAAGAAAATATCTTAAATATTTCATGAACTGGTTGGACTGCACTCAAGCCTGCTTCACATTCCTGTTCGGAAAGATCGTGCACGGAGGGGGGGGGGGGATTATCAGAGCCCTTTGCAATTCAAATTATTCCTTGAAGATTCATGGACAACCGATGGAATGTCAAGGCACACCTGGCAGGCTGAGAATACGGATCAGCCTTGAGCATGGCACAGGCATCTTCGAGGAGGCGAGAAGCCCCTTCCACCCTGTGAAGGGACCCTGGCATGTCCTGCCTCAGGATGGGATCGTCGCTGCTGTTGATCGTATCCCGACCCACCTTCGCGGAGAAAAATTGCCTTGGACCTTTTCTGCTTCAAAAAAATTCCACAGTGCCACAGAATGACCTCTAGCTCACCTTGATGAGATTGGCCACGGCATTGCTGACCGCCTGGACGGGTCGAGAGAGATCGGGCATGGCGTTCCCATCTTCGGCCTCTTCGTGTAGGATCACCAACCTGTCAACCTGTAAGAGAGAATCCAACATTCTTGTCATTTGACACATCTGACGGTGGCAGATAGATATGAGCCGGATCAGCTCCTAAAATTTGAGTCTGAATCTGAACCCAAATGGATTCTTGAAGGTAACATTCTGAGGAAGGAGCAGGATTCAGAATCCACTTTGTTTTCTTCACTTAAATATTCAGAACGCTGAGTTTTGAGTAAGGATGAGATATGCAGGTATGACAGATACCAATATCTGCATTTTTTGGTGGAAATATGAAAAAATATATATATACATATACATAAAAATATCATAACCACATCTTTTTTCACATCCATATGTCATCTGCATTTTCTTCAATTTCCCCCTGCTTCATTCATATTTTTAAAGCCCTAATCATCTTCCAACAATACACCGATGAGTCAACAACTAACGACCGCGCAAAGGGAATATGGAGGAAGCCGGGCCAGAAAAAAAAACAATATTTGAAATCCTTCCTACGAAGGAAAAACTTGCTCCATATCTTATCGGACTGGGACCACGTGGGATCTCCAGCCGATTGCATCGCGACTCAGAGCCACCTGGGCCGAGAAGGAAATACAATCAGCCAATTTAGATAACAGTACGATCCCGACAAAAAGACTTCGAGGTTGCCCAAGAATAAATCAAGCACAATGGGCTGGTTGCTTGGATACTTCCAACAGCTTTTTTTTTTCCAATAGAATAAAAATGTGATGTTTTAACATTTTACTTCCATATTTTCTCATCCTGAAAATGGGAAAACTACAAAACTCAAATTCATCCATTCAGCTACTTTATGACTGTTTACTTAGATTACTTTGGAGATAAGCTACTTTAAGAACAACTTGAATTAGTTTCCATTACATTTTTGCTCTATCAGAATATATTCTTCATGTCATACGTAATCAAGGAACCGATATCTGATGAAATCGGTCTGCACGAGGGCGAACCGAGATCATCTCACCTTGAAAAACAGGTTAAGAACAAAACAATTTGTTAACATATGCGATCTCTCGGTCCCAAGAGCATTAACGTATAAGTCTTTACTGCTGCTGCATTTTCAACTCGACATGTGAACGGTCAACACTTGCTTGCCGATGAAACGCCAGTTGCCTGAGATGCAAGATTCGAAGATCTCTGATGACGAGAAGCGGCATCACTGCAACGAATGGTGTCAAACCCGACCAGGCCGGGGATTTATGGATGGATTTATTTTTAAAAGAAGCGATCGAACGCGGGCAGCGATTTCCCAAATCCAACAGTCGAAGAGAACTTCGAGGGCGAACCCGACAACGTGGACTGTCGGATCCGGCTCGCATTCGATCTGGCGGTGCGAAGCATAATATCTTCCCGACGTCAAACTTCACTCGTCGTACGAATCCCAGGCCGAAATAATAAGCAAGTACGAATGATGGATGACGAGCGAAAATGATAAAAAAAAACGCGTCAAAATTTCTCTATAAAGGGTCGAAGCGACCGTTCCTAAAAGACGATCCCGCGCTCGCAACACGAACGGGCCCGTCCACCCCACCGATTCATCTCGACGTAACGAGGAAAGACGAGCCGGCGATGCCATCCAATCCCGCCTCGCCGACCTCCTTTGTGGAAGACGAACGAAAGGAGCCGGAAGGGAGGAGCAAGGAAGAAGTCATTAAGGACGATTACGCTAAGCGGCGGAGAGGCGCGGTCTCTCTCCTCCCGATCGACGACGACTTCCCCTTTAAATCCCATCTCCCGCTCGCGAAGGGATTCCGCTGCATCTCGCCGCGGAAGCGAATCCCATCGATCCGGACGGAACCGACGCGTGTCACGCATCACGTCCGGCTGCAACAGTACACTCCGGCCCCGATCCGATAATAGCCAGCCCGGATGAGGATCCAGAAAAACGGGATCCCCCCCCCCCAACGACCCGATCCGGATGGGTCTCTCCGCGTCCGATTCCGTTCGGACGCACGATCGACATCGCACACGTGCGATCCGATCGCGGTACCGCTCGTTTCGACTCGCTCTCTCTCGCCCCGAGGGGAAGGCCGTCATCGGCCGGGGATTTCGAGCGGTGATACTAATAATAAAAAGTAAGAGGAGGTGGGAGGGGAAGCCCAAGTTTGGCGGTCACACCCGTGCGAGCGTCTTCGGAGGGGAAACGACTCGGCTGGCAGGACACCAACGCGGGGGTGGGAGGGACGACCGAAGACCGAGTCGTCCAAGTCCCTTTCTTCTCGTTTCTCTCCATTTTCTTCGTTCTGAAGCTTCTGCAACGGGAGGGGGGGGGGGGGGGGGGGGGGGGGGGGGGGGGGGGGGAGTGAGGAGGGAGAGAGAGAGAGAGAGAGAGGAGGG